TCAAGAATAATTTAAGTTCTGTCTTAGATGGAAAAAACCATACTTCAATGTTTCAATATATAAAAAAATGAATATTAAAACTTAATGACTTCATTAACATTTATCCCACCTTATATTTCATCTTACAAAATGCAAAACAAACACAATGTTTTTTAAAGACAGAAAAAGAGAAATAAGGAATTGGCCATTCATAAGTGCTCTTACCAAGCTGTCTTTTAATCTCTTCCTCATCTCCTTTGAAAGTTTGGGAATAAAGGGGAAGGAAAAGTTTCAGTTACATGGGTTATTTCCTTCCCCCAAAGCAGAGCTGGGGAATATCCCCTAGTCCCCAAGGGAAGAAATGAAAAAAAAAAAAGAGTAGGTTTCCTGAATATGCACAGACAGTATGCCAACAACGGACATAGAGAGTCCACACTATTGTGATTTGGATATAGTGTATCCCAGAGACTATGCCACTTTAAGTCCTGTGAGGAGGTGATACCAAGATGGGGTTAGACAAGCAAGAGATGGACTAGAGGAGTTTCTGTGGAGGATAAAAGGGGAAGAAGCAGGAGTAGGCAGGAAAGCCCGAGAACAAGAGAAGGGCTGAGAGGAAGGAAGAAAGGGTGAATAGTAAGAGTCTCAGAGTGCTACACAGTTCTCAGAAAGTCTTGGCTGGGTCAGGCATGGTGGTGCTCTCCTGTAATCCCAGCAGCTTGGTAGGCTGAGGCAGGAGGATCGCAAGTTCAAAACCAGCCTCAACAAAAGCAAGGTCCTGAGAAACTCAGTGAAACCCTGTCTCTAAATAAAATAGAAAATAGGGCTAGGGATGTGGCTCAGTGGTCAAGTGCCCTTGAGTTCAATCCCCAGTACCAAAAAGAAAGAAAGAAAGTGTTGGCTGGGTTAGTGGGGAGTCAGGCTGGCACTAGAACCTGTGATGCCCAGACCTGGCTGGGAAGATGGCAGCATAAGTAAGCACTGGAGCCAAGGGTGTGACAGAGGCAAAAGGACAGCAGCTGGGGCTGTCAACTGACTCTATTCCCCACAGTTAAGTTCTCTTGAAGGAGAAAATCTGAATGACACGTTTCTCTGACTGCCACAGAGGCCATATAAACTCCTATTTTAAAAAATACATAATCATTGTCCCTGGGCCAGCATCAAGCTCCCTAAACCCTCAGAATTCTGAGTGACCATTAATTGTTGTATGCTAATGAAAGGACTCATGGGGGATCCCTGGATATTTTGAGGATGGAGGCTGGTGGCCAGGAAAACCAACTATGTGCTTAAACGGTTAAAACTTCCAGCCCCTAACCCAATCTCTGAGCAGGTAACAGGGGTAGAGATTGAGTTCAGCCACTAATGGCCAGCGATTTGGGTAATCACACCTATATAATGAAGATTCTACAACTCCTGGGAGCCCATGTTTGGGGAGCTCCCAGTTGGTAAATGCATCAAGGTGCTGGGAGGGTGGCCTACCCAGACTGGGCACAGACACCATTTGCACAGCACCCTTCATCTTTGCCTCTGGTACCTTGCCCTATCTATCTCTTCCACTTGGCCATTTCTCAGTTGGATCCTTTATAATAAAACTGTAATTCTAAGTCTAGTGGTTTCTGTGAGCTCTGATTCATTTTAGTGAATTATCAAACCTGGGGGAGGGGAAAGGTTATGGGAAATCCCCAAATTTGCATTCTATCGGGCTGACAACTGCATTTGCAGCTGGTGTCTGAAGTCTGAATTGGGGACAGTCTTGTGGGCTGAACCCTAAGTTTGTGGAAACTGCACTAACCCTGGGCAGTTGAGGTCAGAATTGGATAGAACTATAGGACACACAGTGGTGCCAGAATTTAGCTGGTGTTGTACTGACATATTTGGTGTCACACACACACACACACACACACACACACACACACACACTCTCTCTCTTTCTCATCCTGTAGGTTGCAGCTCAGGCATGACTTCTTAGGAAAGAATTTCCTGCTGCCAAAACTAGTTCAGACCCTGGCTTTCCTTTATACCACACAAAAAGATTATTCATGTAATTACCTTATAAATGTCTGCCCCATCAATTAGACAGCGAGTTTCATAAGGTCTTTTTTGTTGAATGGTTATTTATTCCTATGCTTAAAAATATCAAGAGCGAAAGATCCTCTTATTATAGGGCTGTTGTGAGGACTGAGTATGTGAAATGCATCATTACACAGTAAGCACTACATAAGGATTTGCTGCTATTATTGCTCATCTTTAAGTCTCTACAGTACTCCATATAAAGCCAGCCACAAATATGTTAAGGTAAACTAAATCTGTATATAAATTATGTTAAAGGTAACTGCAGTGAAATTCTACATTATGGGTTCATTTTCAAAATACCTTTTTATTTCCTTCAGACAACATCAAGCTAAAGGACCACATCCTGCTATGATAATAGACAAGAACTGGAATGAAGTGAAACCTCTATTACTAGGACAGGCAAGAGCCTATTGCCCAGAATGGGGTAAAAATCAAGTTAAAACCCCATGTCTCTGACTCTATCTAGAGGTGATGAGTGAAAAATATATACAAGCAAGCAAAATATTAGAGGGGAAGATAAATGATCACTTTGAGTTAGAAGTTTATATAAGCTTCTTTTCTCTAAATCTGTGTGAATATAAAATTTAGGGACACAATTATCAGGTAAAAATAACTGGGAAAGACAATATGAATTAGTAAGTACTTATAATTACTTAAATTCAAATATCATCAAGAACTCAAGCTTGCCTGATAGTCTACCAGAGGTCCTCAGGAATCATCAATTTTAATAGACTGCCATCAGTTTTTGTATATATATATATATTCTAAATGGGTGTTTTTTTTTTTTTTTCAAAACACAATCATTCTATTTAAGGGTGACAGCATAGTACTTTAGTACTTGGTCAAAAAACATTTGTCAAGGCTATAAGCTCCTAATATTTACTGAACATTTTCTTGAATGTTGGTGTTATTTCAAGTAATGAGAAAACTGAGGCATAAAGCATCTATTCATCTCAGAAAGCAAATAATGACAGAATCAGAACTTGAACCCAAAGTCACCTAGCATCAAAGCCCATGTTACTAATCCCGACATGGGGCTCCTCAAATGAATGCATACAAGACTAAATTTCAACCCACTGTCATAAAAGTAAGTTCATACTGTGGATGAACTGAATTTCACTATTAAAGCACTTTATCCTCTCTAAATTGCTTCTGATTTCTCTCTTACCCCAAAATAAAACCCTAACTTTTTACTGTTGTTGATTTTACTGAGATGTTATTTGTCATTCAACTATTCTCCTTTATTTCCCACTTTCATTAAAGGAGACAACTAAGAAAAATAGATATAAGTAAGTAATGGAGACATAAGAAATATTCAGAGTGGCCCAAACAGGATTTTAGATACTAAGCACCTAAAAACGAATGAACCCTGTGATGCTTTGCTTACCGCAACTAAGTCACATGGAAAAAGAAAAAATTGAGAGATAATTGAAGTCTTCCAGGAATTTCTCTAATGGTCTATTTGCAAATCATCTTAGAAATAGTATGCAATGAAGTCTTCAGGGTACTGAATCCTGGATAACTAATCAGAAAATTGCCCCTTTCTGAGCAATTTGGTCCAGCAAGATTCTGAAGTAAATCAAATAAGAAAACAGCTACAATTGCTACTGCTTATAAGATGATACAAGCATACAAATGGTTGCATCTAAATAGATACTTTTTAATAGAAAAATATCATGTAAATTATTTTATCATTAACCATTCATGGACATGAGACCACATATCCATGACCTCAACTGATATTAAATGTGGCAGCTCACAGTCAGTAGGTTACATGTAATTAATGAGCTTCTATTATAACAAGATGCCAATTATCCTGAGAAGAGAACTTCAGCAATCTCTAATTGATTTACAGATGATCCACCCCATCTTAGGGTAACCCTAAGCTGTATAATGCTAAAGCCCTCATACTTTCAGAATTCAAGGGATGAAAGAAATTCTACTATTTATTGGTCATAAGGTTATAACTACTCCTTAGCAACCAGTGTCTGTCTTTCATGTGACAAAGAAGTAACTGAAAAGGAAGAAATTGCACATGAGACTGAACAGTTACAATTCAGAGGCAGCACTTCAAAGATAGATGTATTTACAAACTGTAGGGTAGTGTGAAAGGAGCTCCCTCCATTGGGTGGAAGAAGAGGATAGATGACCCCAGCATACTAAAGGTGTCCAGGATCCTGCAGGCCCTGAACCAAAGACTAAGAATAAATGTCACTTATCTGTTCCTGCTCAGGGCACATTTCACAATCCTCACTCTTAGCCCCACTCTTCTGCTCCTAGGAGGCTCCTCTATGTGGGCATCTGGTTGGAATGCAAGCTTGCTCCCAGGGCAACATCTGGATCCTCTCTCTGCTCTATATCACAGACCTTCTTCGCCCTTACCCTGACATCTGACTGGTGATTCCATTTACAGCACAATAGTTTAACACAATTAGGGGAAACTTATTTTCATACCTAGTTGGAGTATAAATACTTTAGACAATTGAAAAATTAATAAGAGATTTCTCCACACCCATCCCTTTCAACTCTGTAGCCGGTCACAAACAGTAAAATCGTGTCTATGTCTTTTTATTTTGGGTTTTGGTTTTTAGTAATGGGGATGGGAGGAGGGGAGGTGCGCTCTGCCACTGAGCTACATCCCCAGCCCATTTTATGTTATTTTAACTTATCATAGTAAGACAGGGTTTCTGCTAGGTTGCTGAGGCTGGCCTAAAAGGATGTTCTTAAAAGAAGAGTGGGGCGGGGATGGGATCTTCAGTAAAGGACCACAAACTGGCTGATTGGCGTAGGATAAGGTAATTCCTGGATGTTTTCATTTATGCAAATTTTTTGCATTCTCTCAAAAACTCTGTTATTGGGCCCCTATGCTTTTCAGCTCCAAAGACTAAGAAGGTGCCTGCTAGCACGCTTGCCGGGGTCCCACCCGCCAACACAGGTGGTTAAATACTTACCTCCCCTGGCCCGCGTGGCCCAGGCTCTCCCGCCAAGGCGCCCCAGGGGCCGCCTCCACACCCTGTCTCTGGCTTTGCAAGGGACCCAGCTCCCCGCGCCCCCTACTGGGGTCCTGGGAGGCAGGGGTGGCGCCGAGCCTGGAGCCCACCACTTTACTGCGGGTGTACATGGTTCAGAGCCCGCGGTCCTGGTCCCCGGGGCCGCCGTCGCTGCGGGAGGGACGCAGGCTGGGACGCTGGACGAGTCTCGAGAGGGGGTTCCAAAGAGCAGAGGCAGCGGTTTTAACAGCTGAGTTTCGATTTCTCCCTACTAGCCACAGGTTGCGCCCGCCCCGGAGAATTTCCCCATTTATGCTCCTCCCAGGCGCCCTCTGACCCTAGTACAGGTTTAACAGCTGGGCTGCGACCCCACCCCAACACGCCCTCAGGGATGTCGCGCTGAGCTAACTGTCCCAGCTGCAGGTGAGTTGGCTTAAGGTCTCACAACCACCTGAGAGCTGAGAAGGATCCTTAGGATCCGCCGGAAGTGAGGAAGGAGCCTCAAAGCGACTGGGTACTTTAGGAAGGGTTTCACAGGTAACCCTAACTGAGGTCAATGAACAGTATGACCTTGAGATTCCAGTTACAACTGCTGTTTGGTTGTTGCAAGGAAGGTCCTTTCTAGTTAGAGGAAATGGAAAGTGAAATTAAAAGAAAACTGGTAATAAAACCCATGGAGCTAAAGAAGCAAGCTGAGGACTACATAGAGTTGATTCTCTAGATAACCTTGCTAAGTAAGTAATTGACCAGATGGTCAAAAAAAATCAATTAAACATTTGCTCTGTGCTGGACAGTATGCAATGATTTAACTATGGTGTGGCATTTAAAAAATATATGGATTTGTAAGACTGTTTTTGTAAGTCTGGGCCTACAAAACATTTTTAAAGATGCCCAGATGATTCCAATCTGTGCCAGGCTGATCACCATGGTCACAATGCTGGCTATACAAAGATGCTAGAAAGCTCTTCCTATATTCTAGGACACTGGTAAATAAATACTAATGCCACCCAGGAGTAAATGAATTGTGGGCAGAAGTGTTAAGCTAGACAGAGGAAAAAACTAAGAAAAGGGACAATTAAGAGTGAGCCACAAAAGGCATGGAAGTTCACAAGAGCTGCTATGGTAGGCGCTTGTTGCTTAAAATGCCATGGTGTGTAGTTAATTCTGCATGGTATGGTATGGTGGGAGTATCCTAGGCCTAGTCACCAAGCCCCTTAGGAGCTGGACTCTCTTGCTTCATTATTGATGCTTAGAACAGAAAGGCAAATAGATCTTTGACAGCTAATGAAAGAAAGAAGAAGAAAAGGTAGTGGTAAGGGACATGGTGGGAAGAGAATCAGGTTTTCTATTTCCTAAAGTGTTAGAGCTCTATCAGGGGGCCAGAGGTTCTCAAATTACAGTGAGCCTCAGTGTGTTAAAACTGGTATCTGGGCACCAAACCTAGGAGTTTCTGACTCAATAGATCTGTAGTGAGGCCCAAGGACTGGCAATCCAGCAAATTTCCAGGTGAGACCAATGCTGCTTATCCCAGGAACTCCCTTTGGAACCCCTGCTATAGGTAATGTGGAAGGCAAAGGAGGATTTTCAAAAGGGCAGTTATATAATAATATCTACTTGAGAAAGTTAACTCCTAGCATTGTGAAAAGAAAATTGAAAGATAAGACTGAAATCAGGGAGATAAACTAAGAGCCTAGTATCATTTAGATAAGTAATACAAATCTGAGCATAGGCAGTTGCACAGGAAATAGAAAGCAGGGTGTCCTGCAGGGGCTCTGATTCAGGAAACGGATTTGGGTTGCAGCAAGTAGAAGAAGATGCCAGATGCAGTTAGGAGAGTGGACATGCTTTATTCAGTGGTGGCCACAGTCATTAGCCAGCCCTCAGCTTCAGCTTCAGCCTCCAGCCAGTTCCACCTTAGCCCACTTCCACAGGCCCTTTTTATATGCATGTCAAACAAAGAAGGCACATTACCAACAGGTTAGTTAAGGGATGGAAGCACAAGCTCACAAGTTAAGGTTTATGACCTTGAGTTCTATAGCTGAATCATAGTGTTTCCGGCCTTGACTAACCATAACATAGTCAGTTCCCCACCCTGGCTGCATATTAAAAATGTAACAGCTGGGGTTGTAGCTTAGTGGCAGAATGCTTGCCTCACACATGTGAAGCACTGGGTTGAATCCTCAGCACCACATAAAATAAATAAACAAACAAAATAAAGATATTTTTAAAGAATGTAACAACCTCCCAGAAGTCTCAGCCAGGAAGCCTAACTACAGTCATGTTGGGACCTTTCCAAATGAAAGATTCACACAGACAAAAAAAAAAAGAAAAGAAAAACAAGATGCAAGGGATAATTGAGCATCAGAGGCAGAAGAGGAAATGGGATACACCTTTTCTAGTACTTTGAGACCAATTCTACCAGGTATGACTCTCTTATTTCTTCAGAAGTCCATCTGTACAATGTGACACAAAGTTACAGTACTCTCACCTTATAGTATATATGAACAATAAAGAGATAATTCACATCAGTGGTTCTCAAAAGGAGTTGACTTTGCCACCAGAGACATTGAGCAATGCCTGGAGTCATTTTTTTATTGTAAAGCCTGCAAGGAGGTGGGTCTACTGGCATCTAGTGGGTTGGGGCCAGGAATGCTGCCAAACATCCTACAATGCACAGGAAAGCCCCCCATAACAGATGTTATTCAGCCCCAAATATCAACACTGCTAAGGTTGAAAAATACTGACCTACATGATGATCTTACAGTCCCAATAATTGAATGGTGGTGGTTTTTATGGTGACTTTATGGTTTTAATTTTGTGACAACTCAGGTGGCCAGATCATTTAACCATTAACCCAAAAAAGGAGCAACTTGTAGGGAAGGTGAAACAATTTGTTTAGGGACTGTTGGGTTTCAAGGTACCTGAGGAGAGAGCAGTACACATCTAAAGCCCAACAAAAGAGGACCAGTGAGGTCTTTATGGATGCCATCTTCTTCAAAATCATTTATGCTGTTAATATACCACTGGGACGTTTGTTTCAGAGGAGAAAAAAAATATTTTGGTGGTTGAATTAAATTTGAATAAGGGAAAACCCAAGTTAGGGAAAAAACAGTTCTTCTAATGGATATAGTAGTAGCTGACCATGTTTATCATACAACACAACCATGTTCTACACTGAAGTTCCAAACGTTGAGATGCAAGTAGAGGATAAGAGGCAAAATGTAAATTTCTAATTCTGTTCACTCCTTGTTTTATCACATTCTCAATGTGTTTTAAAACAAACAAAAACTACAGCCAGGCACGATGGTGCACGCCTGTAATCACAGCAGCTTTTGAGACTGAGGCAAGAAGATTTCAAGTTTAAAACCATCCTCAGCAACTAGTGAGGCCCTAAGCAACTCAATGGGACCCTGTCTCTAGATAAAATACCAAAAAGGGCTGGGGATGTTGCTCAGTGGTTCAATCCCCAGTACCAAAAACAAAAACCCAGGTGCACGTGACACATTGTTGCAATAGAAATCTACAGGCTCCTTTAGGATACACAAGAATGGGCTATTTATTTGTGTAGTGCCCATTTTCTCACCTTACATGTGCGCATTTGTGTGAGAATATGGGCTGGATTCCTCTTTTTTTTTTTTTTTTGTACTTTTTTTTTTTTTTAACCACTAAACTACATGCCCAGCCTTTTTTTATTTTGAGACACAGTCTCACTAAGTTGCTGAGGGTGTCTCTAAGTTGCTGAAGCCTCCCTAGAACTTGCAATCTTGCTGCCTTAGCTTCCTGAGCTGCTGGGAATACGGGTTTGTGCCACTACACCTGGCTTTGGCTGGCTTTTTACCAAGGCTGTTATAGGATGTGTACTACTGCAGAGATGTCTGGTGGAGGGATGCAGGGGTGAGTGGGAAAGGTTTGGGTTTCCCATCCCTGCTTTAACCTAGCACTTTAATCTCTTATCTCTTCTTCTACATACTAATTTTCCTTTCTGTAGGAGTTCTGTGGCTTTTTAGTTTTGAAAAATCATGGTGCTAGACAGTTACCTAGGAATATGTTTTAAGGGACATGAAAAAGATCTGAAATCTAATGAGATTTCATTATATTGCCTGAAATTTGGCCAATTTGAGATTTATTTAGGAAATGGTTTTCATTTAAAATGCAACTGCCTCAGGGAAATAATTGTTTATTCATTCCTTTAGGAAAATGAGCAAAAGATTTTTGGTTGGGAAAGAGAGAAGCTGTGTGAAAAGAAAAGAACGATTCAAAAAAAATCTGTGTAAACAAAAGTGTAAAATGAGGTATTTGGGGGGAGTGAAGAGTCAGGAATAAGATGAGCAACTTTAGCAGCTGGTGTGCTTTAAGAGATAAGATAAAAAAAAAAAAAAACTTCCATCAGTTTAGCCTACTGCTAACATATCTTTACTTTGCAAGGACATAAATGGAAACAATATTTGATTTTAAATTAGTTACCTTAGATTGCTCCTTCATTAGCATGTATGAATAAAGAGATAGATAAAGATACATAATCTCTAAGCCTTTTCTTTGCAAAAAGTGTCTCAATGAAAAATCTGTTTCTGAAAATTCTAAGTCATTCTTCCCTAAATTTGATTATTCACTGGGAAGTTAGATTAATCCAATAAATGTAGGATAGCAATTATTCTAAAGTATTTTTTCTATTTTACCAAAGGAATTATGTAAAACTCACCTAATACTGGGCAACTCTTCATTTTGTGTGTGTGTATGTGTGTGTTTGCTTGTGTGCACATTCACACACATACATGTTTATATTATGACAATTTCCGATTTTTTAGAATATTTTCAAACTTTTCTACCACAGAACTGTGGGATGCTGCAATGCTAAGTCACCATAAGTTCATGCAAGATATATTTATAGAATGATAAGCATATACCACTTACTGTGTGAGACTCTGAAGCTGTTATTAACAAGTAGAACTCTGCTATTCTAGCTTCATGTTTGAGATCATCTAACTACTTCATTTTAAACACAAGAAAAAAGGAACTAAAAGAAGGCGAGTAACTTCCCAGGCCATGTACAAATTCATGGCTGAGCCACAGCTTGAATTTAGGCCTCCCAAATCTAGCATTTTTATATTTTAGAAGACAATTATGATAAAATATATTTTGGCAAAATTCAGAATTTGAAATATTTCCACTTACAATTTTCCCAGTGTGCAGCTGTGTATTATTTTCCAAAACAAAAATTTGTAAAAGTTCCTAAACCTATTACAATTGACACTAATAAAAACCTTAACATTCTCCTTGGTCAACCCTATAATCACATGATCAAATGATCTCTGCAATGATTGTATTTATAAAACTTGTCC